AACCGTTTGATTTTTGTATTAAAGTTTTTTTAATTGATTGATGATTGATTCAATCAACTAATTTGTTGATTGTTTGATTGTATTAACTTGATTCTTTAGATATTGAAAATTAAATAAATAACATTATGTTAATTTAAGCGTACAGAAACGTTGCTGTTGTTCCAGCAAAAATCTTATTTTCACTTTACCGAGTTCCTAGTAGGTAATTTGAGAAATAGAACAATTTTAGCAACTTTAACGGATCATCCTAGTTAATGTGCAGATTAGCTAGGTAATGTGCACATTAACGGATTTCGAGCTTTAGCGGTAACATATATATAAATGAGAATGTTTGTTTCTTCGTTATGCACACTTAGGCCGTTCGACCAATTGCTACGAAACTCGGCAGTTACGTTCACGTATTTTTAACTTAGATAATATCGTACATACCATCATAAAATATCGATTGAATTTATATTTATCAATTAATTTCTGTCTACATTCATTTGTTGGCTTTACATGTAGCGCCATGTATTGGCAAAAATTTAAGAAAATAAGAAACTAAATATAATTCTTACAAAAAAGAGATAATAAATAATTTTTAAAATTATATTTACTTAATTACTGCGACAATGATATAGCGCGAAATAGACACGCCATTGCGATGACATATAGCACATTTCACTCCATATAGACAAGTGCTGTTACCCCGTGAAAAGTCTGTAAGTATTTAATTTTCCACACTTAACAACTCCGGTTTTTGTCTTTACTGAATACAGTAAAGCCTCGATTATCCGACCCCCGATTAACCGACCGTCCTAGTTGGCAAATTCAAATGTCCGCTAGTGATGTGGCGCTACAATATTTGGCTATGTCTTGGCTACTTTAATATTATTTTTNATCATTTTAGCCTAAATACAGGTATTATAATATGTACAGTACAATAGTTTTAAGAAAATATGTGTTATTGTAGTTACTTTTTATATGAATGGTTTGTTTTACATTGAAGTTAAATAGCAGGTAAGAAAAATAAATCATTTTGTAATACATGTTATCATTTTAAATTAATTACTGTGTAAGTAGTGTATTCAGTTACAGGTTTGCTTGGGATAATGTGGAACCTTGGTTAATCAAATTTATACTGTAGTTATAAAACGAGGAGAACAGAATTCAAATGGATTTGTTTTATTTTAATTTTTAGATTGAATTAATAATAAAAAAAAAGACAGTTAGAAAATCTGGTTCTAATCATTTTGAAAAAATGGCTTTGTACAGTTATTTTCAAGTAATTTTCTGAGTGGTTTCAATTGCCCTGGCACTAAGTGTTTAAATAATAATAAAAAATAAATTATAAAAAAGTTATAAAATAGCATGGTTTTAAACAGAGAGTGATCTCAATTAATGGTTCTCTAATGTGACTGAACAAAGTATGCATGTCAGAATTCCAATGATGAAAACTAAGTCAAAGAAGTTAGCTAAAAAGTTGGATCACAAAAATTTCAAAGTAACAGATTGTCAGTCATCTTACTATTGTGCTAAATATAAGCACATTAAATTCAAGAAAGCATACAAGAAAGACAATTTTGATGTTGTAAGTGCTAAACAATAGAAATAAACAAAACAAACTACCTAATTTGTTTCATACATTTTGTGCAGATGACATTAAACAGGTCTGTTTGATCACATCATGCCAATGATAAAGAATCCTGAGCTGCAAAGAATGCAAATGGATTGTATAATTTGTTATGCTATTCAAGCATGTCATAAAATGATACCCTAAATTTGGTTATTGGGAAAACATTAAGCCTAGATACTTTAAGGGCTAAAAATGGACAGTTTAGCAGTTATGTATTATATTCAGAATAACTAGTACAGTAGATGATTTCTGAAGCATTTAATTATTTGATATGTACATTAAATTAAAATTTTTAGGATAAATATTTTTTCTTATCTGTATTATTTGTTCCGGTATTAAAGTATTTTGTTGTTCAATACACAATATTTTTTTGTTTTATATTTTTTAATACTGAATAAATGGGACAGCCACTTAATCAGGCCAAAGTATACTAGTCCTGATGTATCTCAATTAACTGAAGTGATTCTGGTTAATTACTTAATTGTAATTGCTTAAAATATATTTATATAACAAGGCTGGTTCATCAATCTGTTGCTAAAATGTTTCATTTATTTATACTAGTATAATTTGGAAAACTTATTTAATAATAATTTTGATATACTTTAATACTAATTTATTGAATTTATCATTATTTTATGCCAGTTTTAATTTTGAGTTTTCAATTTCACAAAATCTAAAATTGATCTAAACTATCAAATGTGTATTTTTATAAAATAATGCTCTAAAACAATTATAACATGTATTTATGAAATAGGCTTTGACAATAAAAGTACATATAATTTACAACTTAATAAACATTAGTAGTTTATTTTAAAATATATCCTTGATTAATTAAAAACAATACATTCATGTTCAAAATAAACATCCATCCACAACAATGAAATTAAAATTTAGTGAACAAATTCATTCAGTTTCTGAAAATATGCTCATTTTTTGTATTTTGTTTTTGTATATTAAAACATTCCATACAGTATACAAAATATTTAAACAATAGAATAAAACATGATAAAAATTAAGTTTATATTTAAATCCAAAAATCAACTTTTCTTTAATGTAGTAAATCTCCAAATTTAGAATTAAATATTAATTCATTAAATACTTATGTTTCAGATTATAATATAGTTAAAATTTTATTAATGTCAATAGAAATATTTATAGAGCCTTTATATCCATTATCTTCAAAATTTCTGAGTTTATTTATATATTCTGCAGGCAAGTTCTGTTCAACTGCACCATAAACTATTACAGCTTTATAAATAGTGGATGGCTTATTTATCTGTTTCTCAGGCATTTGATATGTTTTACATAACATTTCTTTGCCCTCTATTGTTTCTATTCTTACTTGAATCGAATTGTATCCTGCTTCTTGCCTAAAATAATACATAATTTTAAAGTTTTTAATTATTATTATATAGTAAAATCCACTTATTGTAATCACTTTGAGAATTATTTATTCTGCTGATGATAACATTAAGTGCAATAAGTAAATATGACTACAGTCCATCACATATTAATAATAGCTATAGTTTTATTTACTTATTTACACACTCCATGACATAAATTTCAACATTACAATTCTGCTTTCACTAGAGTCACACAAATTATGATGGATATGTAAATGAACAAAATATATCAAAGGAGGGAAGCAGGAAGTGTTGAAAGAGTTCAGGTCAACTTTGAAAGAATAAGAGCTTTTGAAGGAAGATGGAGAAATAGACGGCAAAAACAGCATTCTTTAAGATGAATAGGACAATGTTTAATGTCCTAAAAATGAGAAAAACCTCAGATTTAAGTGACGTCAGAGTTTAGTGAGAAAATTAAATGAACAGCAGAAAGATTTATATAAGAAGATTGGAAATACAGCACTCAACATTGCAGTGTAACATAATGATGTCCAAGTGAGGTTTCATAATATTAGATAATATTAAATGTTAAAAGTAATGAGGACATTTTGATAACTGAGAAGTTTAAATTTATGAGAAAAGCCTTAGAAAGAAGGTCATTAATATTAAAGATTTCGACACCCTGCATCAACATCAGGGAGTGCCTGTATTTTGGGTATTTGAGATATATGCCTCCCTTTTTGTATGGGTTGTCCTTTTCCTAATCTCCATGGGGACCCCAAATTCAATTATCAATGAACAGAAAATCTATGACTTCTAGACTATTCTGCAAATATAAAATAAACTAATGAACAATATTTTCCATTGTCTCATGCAACTTCATCATATGTTAACCAAAACCACATTCCTTGCTTCCATGCCAAGTTTGCCCTAACTGCAACCAGCACCAAATGCTCCTACATGATGTAGGAGCATTGATGCAACATTGAATTATAGAGTTTGAAGCTTTTTGCATAATGTACAATGTTCCTTTTTTATAGCTTATGCTCCACTTTTTTATAGTCTGCAGATGCTGCTGATCAGTATGGAAGTGGCTAGTAAGGAAGAATAAGCAAAAAAATACAGAAATACTTCTTGAATGCAAGGAAAATGTGATTTAAATGAATTTGGAATGTAAAAGAAAAATAATGTTTGAATTTCAAAAGAGATGTTCCAATACAAAGTAACATTTGATAAGAAATTTGGCATGTTTATTTTTAAAATGGACTCAGATGATGAACAAAAAATGTCCAAAAACACCTAGTCAAAAGTTTTGATGTGAGACTCCAATGAAAGCAAGATTGTAATGAAAGCTACAGCTAATGAGAATTATGGTTTTATTGATTCTATCATTAAAAAGACAATCAAAAAAGTTAAAAAAAAGTATAACTTGAAGATTTATTAATTAACAAAAGGAATATCCAACTGGACAATATGATCAGAAAAACTCAAAAATTTTTAAAATCCAGTATTTAATTTTGAAAAACTAACATTAAACAAAAATAGATTTTACAGATTTTTGGTTTATCATTATTATTAATTATAATTATTTTTACTGATTAATATTAATTAATCCAGCATATAGGTAAAGTAAAAGAAATTCCAGTGATTTAAATTACTATACTGCAAACAAATAATTAATATTAAAATTGCTGATTACGACTTATAACAATAACAGAACAATTGAGGGTTATCAGCCACATATTGACACTGATAGCACGAAAATATAGTTTAACAATTAATTTAAAACATATGCTCTCTACCTCAAATTAGTAGTATCTTGCCCCTGTACACTTTTCCTGTTACAATCAAGTCATGCTGGTCATCTATCTAACTCCTTTCAGGGGAAAATTTTTGAATTGAAATAATTTGATTTCCAGTTTGCATCATAAGTTTGTTTATAGTTAATCAGGACCTCCTGTCCCTAAGCTTTCCATATATGGTCTCAGCTTTCATCTATGTAACTCTGTTCTCAAGAATAATGAAAGACAGACAGATGGATGGAAACAGTGGAAATTTATAGGTCTATAGTCCATTTACTCTAATCTAGTGAATGACTAGAAAAAAAGATTTGGTTGCCTTTTCTCTCTGCTGGGCAAAATATATTCTTCTGTGATTTCTCATTCTTGTAACATGACAGATTGAAAACTTAGTGAAAATAAGTAAGCATCAAAGAAGTTTTACATTAAGAAATTAAAATATTTATTTACCTGAACAATTAATTAAATTCATGTAATTGATTTCCAACTAAATCCTTCACTTGTATCGCTAACATCAGCCATATTAATTGTGAAAAACAAATGAGAAGGCAGAGCTTATTGCTATTCAACCAATCAATGAAAACATAATTAAAATACAAAAACGTTAAATACGTATATCCTTTTCTCTATTTGTAAGTTTCATTCCTTTAATTATTACTACTGACGATTAAATAATTTTGAAACATAACATTGTTTCTTATGAATTTAAAGTTTTACAGGAAACTATTTCTCATGGAAGAGGTGCCCAAAGTTAGAATCAACAAACTACAATTTTTTCAAATTGCAGCCCAATAAACAGATTGTAGCTACTGTACTTAGAAATCAATATTTAAAAATCTAAATACTTACTTATCTAAATTGATAATCTGATTTTCTGGCAGCTGCCATACAGTTCCCCAAACTTCACAACTTTTATTTTCAGTAATATTTGCTGTAGCACCTTTCCAAAAATCTGAGTATCCTTGAAAACTCAATTCATATCCCTAATAATAAAATGTATTTAAAAATGAAAATAAATAAATATATATATATACTTGAATGTATAAATATATAAAATTACATATGCACATATTATATCTTAAATAAATAATATACACTGTATATATAAATATAATTTGAATAAATAATAATTTGAAATATATATATGTGTATGTGTGTGGTACATTCAGAAAGACTTGTACTGTATTGATATGAAAACATTTTAAACATAGTCAACTTTAAAGTACTGTCTATCTGCAGCCACACACTTCTGCCAATGCTTATACAGTACAACTGTTCAAAACATTTCAAGAATCCTTTTTTGGTGACCTGTTCCATAGCATCTTTCATAACATCTTCATCATGGAAACATTGCACCTTTTACAGTGACTTTGGGGAAAGGTAAAAACTGAAAGGTGCAACATCAGGCAAATAGTGTGTAAAAAGAATATTATATCCATTTCAACCAGATATTTTGAACAAGAAATGAATGGTGCACCAGAGCATTATCGTAACGGAGTACCATCATTTCTTCAAAATTATCTGGATAAAATGGGCATAACAACATTGCTTCCATGAACTCCCTGTTTGCCTGACTTTGTAGCTTGTAATTTTTATCTTTTTCCAAAGATGAAGATACTATTAAAGGGACAGTACTTTGAAAGTGTCTATATTTAAAGTGTTTTCATATCCAATGCATTTCACAATATAACACCAGTCCTGGAACTTTTTAAATGAACCACATATATTTAGTTTGTTTGAGAAAGAAGGTAACAAGTCATCACATTGGTATTTGTATTTTCCAGAAATATGCAACCTGTAGACAGGACAATACTAATGTTCCACAAAATCACCTCCATTGTCTGAACAATTATTCCAATGTTTTGAAAGTGCAAAGATACTGTCACAGAAAAACTTGAGTATACAGCTGGTTAATCATGTGAGTATAACACATTTTTTGTCTACAAATGGACATAATCAATGTCTCATTTCAGAGCCCAAACAGATGAAAATCACTGGACAAATTGAAACTTTATGAATGATTTTCCAATATTTCATAGCCATATTTCTTCAACCAATCCTTGGTGTGTTGTGTCACATGGAGTATGGCATTATCATGCAATGTGATTACATCTTGAGACAGCAAGTTTTGTTTTTTCCTGCAAATGGCAGTACGAAACTTGTCCAGACTGACAATATAGAACTGCATTCATAGTTGACTGATGTCTAAGAAAGTCAATCAGCAAAACGCTGTGATTATATTATAAAAGAGCTTCTTGTCTCAAAAATTGTTGAAACTAATATCTCAAATACTATAGTAGAGATAACAGAGACTTATCACACTGCTACTGGTAGCACACCAATAATAAAGTTGTATTCTGATGATAGAAGTGTCATTTTGATGTTACCAGTAGCAGTGTGATCTCTATCTGCTATCTCTACTATAATATTTGAGATATTAGTTTTAACTGTGATTATAACTTTGTATTGTGATAATACTGTCTTCAATTTTTTGACAAGTAGAGATGAAAAATTTTTCCATGTATTGATGTACTAGTACTGCTTGGCATCACAAAATAAACAATGAATCTCTTGTCACAATGCATGCCAAGAACATGTTTCCCTTATTCTGGTAACATTGCAAATGTGTCAGTGAAAGACCCATTAGAATAACTTTCTGGGTCATCAGACAATAACTTCAGTACTCAGATTGCATACACATTTCTGAATCACATTATATCATGCATTTGATGGACATGCTCCACAAAAATGTCAGGTTATTCACTACTTTAGACATTGCTATGGTTCTATGTTCATACAATAGACAAAGACTTCCATTTGCATGATCATATCCTCTCACAATGCATTAATGGACCATCCAGAGCAAAGTTTGTCAGCAGCATCTGTGGAAACTATTTACATTATTACACAACTGTAGCATATGTATGGACATTGGTGGAAGACATGCCTTGGCAAAAACAAATAATACTACATGCTTCCATCTATGTCCATGTCATTAGAAGTGCTATCATGTTGACACTGTCTCTATATGCTACACAGTATTGCATAACAAGAGCATCATACTATAATCTACTCCCATCATCCAACAAACAAATATTGTGTGTGGTTGATGGAATTTTACATATTCAACTGTGAGTCCTTGTTATCTTATTTTCAAACAAATAATATATATATATATTTTATAATTCACTTAGGATTAAATATTATAAGGAAAAAAAATTTTTTTTCATCATTACAATATTTAATTATTTTGTTAAATAACACCTATGTTACTTAAAATTATATAATAAATTGGCAATAAAATATCAATAAAGAATTTAACCTTTAGTTTACCAATTGTATTCTTAACTACAGATGGATTATTAATTTTTAATCTGTCTGAAGATAAATTACTTCCATAAGCAAAATAAAATACTATCTTATCTTGTGAAGTGTGAAGCATGTCTTTTTCAGTATTCATCTTATGTCTTGAGTTAATATCAACCCTAAAGAAGAAAATTAAATATTAAATTAAAATTTTTATAACTTTCTAATTTTAAAAATTAATTATTATAAATTAAAATAAGAAATGTGTATTTCAGACAATTAAATAATTTCCGATATACTGGATAAAACTACAAATACTCTATATATGCAACTAAAACAAGTATCAAATGTTGTTCAAATAAAACTGCAACAAAAAAACACAAATTATGTTATTTATGCTATTGTACATGATTGACTTCTAGTGACATTTGATGATAGGGAAACTGTTTTTCCATAAAAATTTTAAACAAATACTGGAAATGACAAAGATAAACAGTTTATTTATTTTAATTCTAAAATAGATAATTGACATGAAACAAAAATATATAACTTGGTTTTATTATTTTTTATAAACTAACTCTATTCAGTGATTTTTTCCGCAAAGTCATTAGTTACTTGATCATAAAAATCATTGTTCGTTGATTCCATCAAAGTATTTAAAAGCTCTTTTTCTATTGAAAGCAATGCTAATGACAACAATCTTTCCTCTGACTTAGTGTTCCTTGCAAATGTATGAATTTGCTTCATGGTTAAAAACCTGCACTCAACAGACTCACTCATAGATAGTACCATAAAAATTAATGATATTAAATCATATAATTCTTTTAATATTTTTTTGTTTAGATCATAATTAATTATATTGTTTTTTATGTCTAAGAGTGAGTTGCCAATATAGTCTGGACACGAATATAAATATTGCAATTCACTTTGCAATTTAGATAAATCAAAAAATTCTCCATAAAATTTACATAAAGAATTAAAACTCACTTCGGAAAATTGTTGTTCAGATCATCATTAATTATATTGTTTTTTATGTCTAAGAGTGAGTTGCCAATATAGTCTGGACACGAATATAAATATTGCAATTCACTTTGCAATTTAGATAAATCAAAAAATTCTCCATAAAATTTACATAAAGAATTAAAACTTGCTTCAAAAAATTGTTCTTCATGATACAGGTATACCTTGACTTACGTCGTTTCGAGTTACGTCATTCCCGATTATATGTCGTTTGTCAAAAAAAGTATATGGAAAAATAAAAATCAAGTTTAAGTCATGTTATTTGACTTTACATCTGTCTGCCACAAATATTGATGTTGTAATATCACTAGAAAAGCGTTTAAAGTACATAAAATCATATTAATTAAAATATATACTATTCATTTACAAGTATGTACTGTATTTATATTTACAAGTATGTACATGCATTCATAAATTTAGATTACTTTTTTCTGTACTATATTAAAAACTAAAATTTATTTACTGTAAGTAATAGATATGTATTATATTAATGGTGCGGTTTTCTTTATATTCTTTTAAAATGTCAATTTTTCAAAGAAAATATTTCCTCAAAAAATTGATGAAACTTTATCGGTTAATTCCACAGAAATAACTGCTGTTTTTTTGCCTGGACCGCAACCTGAAGAGGGGTGCAAGTTACACAAAAACATTGCACCCGAAATGCACAGTAAATAAGTAAATAAAGAATACGACAATAAGCTTTTGTCTCTGATTAAATGCGATCCAGGCAAAAAAATGGCAGTTATTTTTGTGGAATTAACCCATGAAGTTTCATCAATTTTTTGAGGAAATATTTTCTTTGAAAAATTGACATTTTAAAAGAATAAAGTTTATTTGTTTGTAAGCTTAAAATAGATCCTTATTAACCATATATTATTAAAAATGCATTAATAAATAAAATACAGAACCGGGAAATGGTAATTTATGGGTTAGCCTAGTGACAAGTAGATTCAGAGACAAGTAAATTTGACTTACGTCGCCTCTCCTGGAACAAATTACCGATGTAAGGCAAAGTATACCTATATTTAAAATTATCAACATCTAAAAGCGATAAAAATTCTAAATATTTTGTCTGAAAATCTATCAATATAATTATAATTAAATATAACTTTGTAAAGGAATGTACATAAAAATAACATTGAATATTCTTTACTTTTTAAATCTTAAAACAATCTACTTAGTCAAATAGCTCCCTATGAGTGGCTAATGGATAGAATCATTGAAAGCATTATACAATATTTTGGTGTGTAGCATCCACGAGCTAAACTGTGAGAGGTTGATGCTCTGTAAAGCACATGCATAAATGCCAGTAATCTGGCTGCTTTACACGAATCAAATATTTTTGCCACGAAAGCTGTCCTATATTTGACAATACAGCGCTTCCATTGGGAATATGCATACACAAATTTATATTTGAATATACAATAGTAATCTTATCATTAATAGAATAGTATAGAAATTTGTAATAAAATACATAATGCGGTTATAATAAAATATTAATTTTAAGTAATTCAAAGTATGTTACAATATGAAAATAATCGCACAATATGTATTTATATTTTAGAAAATACAAAGGAAGCAGCACTTACAAAGCTTCCATGGCCACTGCTAAACATTCAAAACTGAACTGTACAGTTTAAACTTATACTTATGTGGTGGCGGGCTTTAGTTTATTTTACATTTACATATAAACAAATTTCAATGTTAAAAAAGAAAGGATATTAGTAGTAGGAAATTCAATTGCTCCCTTGCATTCTCTGGCTGCACCACTGGTCACATGCAATTTATTATAAGAGTTGAACAATTAAAAATTTAATCATAATGATTTTGTTTTGGAATAGTCAAACTGACAGTACATATTAAATATCTGATTTACATTTTTATTCCATGAAATAGAGAACAAAAATAAAATTTTCATGTTATCCTTTTATTATAGTTGAATTTTTAATAAAAATATATAAACTATTAAAATATAACAACAAAAAATCTGTTTATCCAACAAGCAGGTTCTTTGTTAGTGTTACTTATTTTCAAAAAAATTTGATATTGAAAATAATAAAAACATGAAACTTAAAAACTATGTATAGTACTGAATTTTAAGATTTGATTTCCTATTTATTTGGGAAATGTTTTGATTTAATTTTAAAAAATAGAGATATCATTTTGTCTCTATTTAATACTTATTACGTTATATTAGAGTAATTACAAATGTAGAAATTTATATTCCAAATCTATTTAAAACTTACATTTTATTTTTGAATTTTTTTTAATATACTAAAAATTAATAAATTATGCAAAAAGGACAGATAGATGATTAAAACATCAGCTTATAGGTCTGGGATCCAGGCAAGAAGACCCAGAAATTTTTCATAGGCAATCTGTCCTGAAAAGTTTGATACCATCCCTCACCAGCCAGCTATCCCAGTGTGGACATTGTCAAACTCATGATGGACAAGGTATCCTCTTTGCGTCCACAGGGCAAAGTCAAAAGAAAAAAAAATTGCAGTACATGAAAAATATACTTTTGTAGTAATCTTTACTATATAATTTATTACCGAAGATAGGCATTTATAGTCCAATCAGAGACACAATTAAAAATTAATGAAAATGGGTCAAAAACTGATTGAACTTTCATTATTTTTTAAAATTTATTTATATATTGCATTAGTGATGTTATACTGATGTGTTAATAAAATTGCTCTGTTCAAAGATTGATTCTACAATCAAATATTAAAACAGGCAAAACTGGGGGACGGTCTTCAAACTGGAGAGGTCTGGTCACCCTACTTAAGATTAAACAGAAATCTTGTGATTCTTGAAATATAGTAAACTCTCAATTTAACAGACTAATTAGAGAAAGGAGGCATGTACTATTACTGAAAGTCCATTAAATCAAACGTATTTTAAAATCATATATTAATGAACTTAAAATGTGTATTATGTACAAGTGAACAAATATTATGACATATAGTAGGAATAAAATATTATTATAATGTACATATGTACAGTACAGTACATTATTTATACTCATTGACTCTTTAATCTAATTAGCATGAATAAAAAGGTTTTAAATTTTTCCTACAGGACAAGTTTTTTTGCCCATTAACTTGAAGGCATACTATAATGTAAAACACAAATATTAAAAACTGTTCAGCGCTAAATTACTGAAAATAATTTTCATAATCTTCCAAGTCAATTTAATGTAGATTACATTCAAAAACGTTTCATAATTATATAGATTATTTTTGGTACTCTAAAACAGTATTTTGAACATCATTGTACGTAACACATTACGTATCGAATTCAACGTAACTAAATTTCTAATTTCTCCAAAAATATAACGACAAATACAATAGGTCGTTTGTAATATTTTTGATTGCTTTAACTCTTTCTGACTTGCTTTCTGTATATTAAAATGCTACTAATAGAGAATCATTCAAAACTTCAATTTATTAATGATAAAAGACAGATTTTACTTCATTTTCTGGATTTCTTTTGAACTATCTCTTATCCTTTCATAGAAACAAACGATTATTAAATTCAAGTAATTATAATTTATTGCTATTAAACGAAGATATAAAATTTAGAAACAGTAGACGAAAGGCAAATACTTCATATTGATCCATTTATTTTTTTGGCAAAGTATATATAATTTTAATCATAAGAACGAAAAATATATATAGCACTCGATATGTATATAAAACACAAAACCAGAATGTAAAGCATATAACTTACACAACGGTAGAAAATCAGCACACGTGATCAAAAATTATCACGGATAGGGTTTCGCTATCCGTGATAAAAGTAGCTAAAAGCAAACAAAAAACTCTCTAAAAATAGCTAAAAAATTTCCAAAATTCGCTAAAAAAAATAGCTAAACAAAAAATAAAAACCATTCACGGATGTTGTGTTATCTCGCGGGAAAAAATACCACGTGATCTAATGTTCCAACAGAAATGTAATAGACATTTAAAAAATATTAGATAAACATCACTTACAAAATATTTCGATTATAATAAGTCTTATATTTAGGTCGAATAATCCTAAGAGATCTTAATAAATAAAACATAATTGGGCACTTGTGCTGTTTAGCGGGTACGGCTATTTGAGAGGTTTTTATTCCATAAAATTAATCAAATCCAGACTAATTTCACTCGAATATTTCCAAAACACGTATAATTTATTGGAAATGATCGATATAAAATATGCTATGAATAAAATATTGTCGGAATACTTATCGAGTGTACCCCGTTCGAAGACGCCATTGCTTAAGCTTGTTTTCGTCGCGAAGTGTCTCATCGGACGGCGGGCGCGTACGAAGTGTGTCACGTGACATTTGTCGGTGCTATTCGGTCACGTGACTACTCATCTCTGACGTGTTTCTGATAACTTATTCTTTTTGCGAAGAATTCGCTGAACTTTAGAGACATCTTTAATAGAAATATTAAAATTTCATTCCATTCTAAATATGGATTAAAATCAACATATAATAACGTATGATAATGCGAAAATAACTAAAAATTCTGCTCTACTGTACTTTTAAATGGCCTAATCTCTCATGTTGTAAACAAAATTGTATAATATTTATTTACATCAAGACATTAGACATCTTATGTTGCATCTGATTAATATTTATCATCATAATATATATCATGATAGAATTATTGTCGTTAGCGAGCGGTTTTTCCTTTCTTGCTTCATATAGTCAATAATAATAAGTCGTTTCTAATTACAATAAAAATCTTATAGTATATTATGGCCTATCACGTGATGTCTTTAAAGTTCAGCGAATTCTTCGCAAAAAGAATAAGTTATCAGAAACACGTCAGAGATGAGTAGTCACGTGACCGAATAGCACCGACAAATGTCACGTGACACACTTCGTACGCGCCCGCCGTCCGATTAGACGCTCCGCGACGAAAACAAGCTTAAGCAATGGCGTCTTCGAACGGGGTACACTCGATAAGTATTCCGACAATATTTTATTCATAGCATATTTTATATCGATCATTTCCAACAAATTATACGTGTTTTGGAAATATTCGCGTGAAATTAGTCTATATTTCATTAATTTTATGGAATAAAACCTCTCAAATAGCCGTACCCGCTAAACAGCACCAGTGCCCATAATTATTCGCTCGACTTAAAAACTTTTCATACTCGGCATCGATCATCGATAAATGTATAACACGCCCAAAAAGAGTGGATATGACAGAATACATAAAACATTCAGAGTTTTTATATATTTTAACTAAAATTTTATTTATAGATTATTATTTTAATTTATTAAAATATATTTATAAAATGGAAAAAATTTTAATTTATATTTTTTCCGCGAGATGGCATATAAGTCGTTACCTTGGAAACCAATGTTGATTATACGACAGAACAGAGATCTGTGGATTGCTCGATCTCGAATTTTTGTCTAGACGAGAATATATTGGAGAAGTTATGTTTAAAAATACGTTTCAAAGTGGATTTTTATCCATATTATACAGCATAGGCAGCAAACCTCTTCAAATCTGGGATAAGAAGGTATTAAATATCTGATCAGTTTATATATTTACATTATATTTAGAATTTTTAAATTAAACATTTTCTATGGTAATAGGTTCGAAATGGACATATTAAGAGAATAACAGATAATGACATTCAGTCTCTTGTTCTTGAAATAATAGGGACAAATGTGAGGTGAGTTTGTAATACAAGTGTATTTAAATATGCTTAAGTTTTCCCATAATTCAGAAATGTTATTTTAAATGTATGCATTTAAAGATTATTAATTCATTTTTTATTTATATTTTTAACTTTATATAATTAAAAGTGTGATTAGTTAGTTCTCTCTTGTTCGCTTGTCCAAGTGTTTCCTTTGCCACCCAAACGATTAATGCCGATTGTTTCTCTGTTCATTTATTTTTTCTCGAGCAAATCGGAAAAGATGAGTCGGAGGAAGTTGTGTCTGCTCTGGTTTATCTTTGAGTCCTTTGCTTTTTCACTGGCTACCTAAAGGAAGATGCACACATGTGGTGCGACAAGGAAAAGCAGTGGAATGACTTCACTTTTTCTTGTTGCAGAAGTCAATTTTGTGCTGCTTTTCTCATGCCATAAAACTCGGTTGAATCTTTTGCAGTGACCACAGCCAAGACACGTTCTATTAGCCAATAACAGTTCATCTGGTAGTCACATCAGAAAATACAATCATGTGGAGTTTTAATTAATGGTGGAAAGTTCAACGCGGTTAACTGAGATAACTAATATCAGAATAAAGAGGAAAAGATAATAAATTTAACACAAATTCTACACAAAAAATCATATATAATTTAATTCAAAGACAAAACAACCAAATCTTACTCGAAATAGTATTCTTTATCGAGAGACCTTAATCAAGGAATAAGCGTATTTTGTACCCCAGTTCATTCTCAATTAAGAAAATATCTCTAATCCAAAATCTTCTAGCTAAATAAAGCAAGCCATACAAAACAAAATTTGTAAACACGTGAATAGTGGCACAGAGGGATAGCGGCAGTGTCAGTATCGTTTGCCATCTTGAATACTGAATGCATGCGCTGAAATGTAAGCGGATTGCTGTTTGTGTGGTTGTGCTGCTGCATGGCAAAGATGTGTTTGCGACATCGCTTTTCCTTGCCACACCGCATGTGTGCATCCTCCTTAATACTCCCCCTGGGTTTGTATGTGTCAGATATGTGTATGGTTTCTGTTTTGAAACTGCAATTTTGGAATTATACAAAATTTGGGTACTTTTTGGTTAATGGGATGCTGGTTGTGAGTAAGACGGCAATGGGTAAGATTTGAGCTCTGAATGAGGAGTTTTGCACCAATTCAGAATTGTTGACCCTTCATGTGATATTTGTCTTCAAAGGTCAGTTTTTAGTATGTATTAGTCTATTGCCTATTCTATGTGCTTTGCATATAGATTTGTGTCTCGATACTCATCCTCGTTCACACCTTGGTGAGGGTGAGCCCCACACCCCCTAAAACTATATAACGTCAAGTACTCCACAAACAGTCAAATGGGCTACTCGAAGCTGGCACGGTTGCGTGGGCTAAATTGTTAAATATGATCGTCTTCTGGCATCCTGTTAACCAAAAAGTGCCAAAAATTTGTAATTATGGTCAACTCGCCTTAAAACAAACACTGCTAAAACAAATTCTTGTGTTGAAGCAAATTTTGCTGTTAATTTTCACGTGATAAAGTTAACAAAAATTTTACCAGAATTCATGAAACCAAAATGTAAATTAGTTTCACAACTCCTAAAAAAAATAACCCTATTTCCAATAATGGTTTATTTTTACAATTTTGATGTAAAGTGGAACTGTAGAATGTTCCATTTGAAGTAGAAAAGATTTTCTTAGTAAGCAAAGATAGTTTGAACTCCAATTGAAGAGCAATTCAAACATCAGATTACTACACTCAGGAAACAGTGTTAAAGTTTAAGGATGACCATTCCTTTAAATGGATGTGGTCCCATGCAAGCACTCGTTAGTTTGTATATTGGGGAGTGATGCCAGGTTTGTCTACTTTGCACCAAATTTGGATTTTTTGTTTTTACTCTTTTGGTGCCAAAAAATGTTTTCTACTTTTTCAAACAATCTTCAATAGAAAAGAAAAATCACAGATTTAGCTTTATTTTGTTTAACCATGCTGATATACTGCTCCATAATTAAACACTGAATACTGTCTCCTCCTCATTTTGTTTGATTTGAAAATCATTTAGAACATTAATTTGCTTTTGTAAATAAGTTTTATTTTATTTAACTTTATTTAGTAAATTAATTCAAAATATTAAAACTTTTGATAAAGTGAACTAACTACTGTTCCCCTAGTGATTTGTATTAACACAAGCTGACTATATATGCCGTACATACAAACATAAATTAATCAACAATCATTAGATCACAAAACTTTTTATATTTCCAACTGTTCATGAAGACAACTGAATTTTCTTTACAGTGTTTTTAAAATAAATTTGTTGGAAATTCTTCAAATTTAACAAAAATACAATACATAATACACTAATATTTTTCAATTATGGGATTGTATACAATAATAAGAAATATTTTCTGAATGAGAAATTATTCTCTTGGTTTTCTTATGCGCTCTATATCTTTAAGAATTTTGTTAAAATTAAAATGTTTATATTGTTTTCTAATAATAAGTTATGTATATTATAAACTTTAATCTTATAAAAATATTACAAGAATAGATATAAATTCTAAAAATTTTATAATCCTCAAAAGCTATTATTCATTTATTCATAAGATTATAAAATTTTCTTATCTGCTACAAAATAATGTCAATCAATAATGATAAAATATATTTCCAGTTAAATGAAATAACTTACCTACATCCTATAATACTCAAACATATTATCTAAAAATATAAGACATGTTTACTTGTACTGTTTATAAAAGTATGTCGGCAATGAGATCCATGATAGATATCAAAAGAATAGCAAAGTTTTCTATTGGTAAAAATATTTAATTTTTCGATATTTTTGATAAAATTATTTATTTCTAAGACTAAATGTTGGTTATATAAAATATATTGCTAAATTGTGTAGCTTTTGAGAAAGGTACATTGATTATAATTACTGTAATTTGATCATAGGATTATTTATTTAACTGTCCTATTTAACTTGCACTTTGTGTGAATGTTGTATTTTTATGGAGCAGCCAATGCAATGTGTAATTTTTTATTTTTCCTATTCCTCTATAATACCTGTTTACTTGACAGTGCAAAATAACAGTATATTGTAAATGGGTGTTTTAAATACAAGGAATGATTGATTTTTTATTACATTCCCTTGTTTTAATAGTTTTTTCACAGAAAACTATAAAAATATCATTTCTACAGGTATCAAGATAAGAATTTCATGATTATTACAAGTATTTATTAAAATGTAGATAATTTTAATTACTGTTATGTAATGTTTTGTAACATTTAAATTTACATTTCTTAATAGATTTTTGGAGATAATCTGTCACTAAATACAGTATTAGAGAGAAGATATTATGCAAAATATTCAGAAACAATTATATTTATAGCTAATTAAACAAATTTATTAGAACAAACAATTGGCCCTTTATTTTTCAGAATTTCTTTATTTAACAATGCTGTGTGAAAATTGATAAATGAATGTCTTAACTGTTTTCTTTATTTTCTATTAACTTATTTACCTACAAGAGACATAACTTCTTTCTATTCAAAAGAAAATAATTCATAAGGAAACACTTTGTGCTTGAATTTTTATAGAAATTTATGGAAATAATGGATCCCAATAATTTTTAAAAACATTTTAATGGAGATACTATATTTTAAGTACATATTTTATCATAAATTGGTTGGTTGATATTGTAAGAAATGCTTTCATATTTGTTTCATCCAAATTAGATAAGTGTTTCTATATTATCATTATTATTTTCAATCTGTATCTGTCCACTATTGGATGAAGGCCTTTCCAATCAGTTTCCATCTGTGACTTTTTTTTTTTGTTGGTCAGTGTGGACTAACAACATTTATGATTGTCTTCCCAACTAGTTTTTTGTCTTTTATCAATTGTCCTCCATTCAGTTAGTTTTTGTCCATCAATCATCATCTCTTCTTGTACTTCAACTTGACAGATGTAGGATTTACATATAGGATGTGTGTTTAAAAGAGCATGGCAAAATTAATCACTTTGAATTGTTGTTTTACTATGCATTTAGGGTCTAAATCCCTCTTCAGCTGTTGACAATTTTTAAAAAACTGGTTCTGAGTAAAGTCACAAGGAAAATATATTTTAGTTTAATATATTAAACATACAAAAGGCATGTATAATATCATATGCTGAGTACTAAATTTATGATACTATGTAGTACTCAAAATGTGATATTATATATGACTTTTTATGTCTTAATATTAAACTAAAATTATATTTACCTTTAATCTGATAACTGTGCTTTCCTGTAGAACAGATTTCAAGCTGACATTACTATGATCAAAGAACATAATCTACCCTGTGTAAACATGGGATTTCTGTCACCACATTTTTTGAATAAAGAGCTTTGGTGCTTCCACTCCATTCTCTGCCTTTTCACTTCTGAATCAAACTGAAAGCAATAGTATTATCACCTGTAACAGTCCTGTTCAAATTGTCCAGATCAGCCTTCACTACATCTAGCAAGTTTGATCAATAATCCAGTCTCTGTTGCTTTTAATCATGGATTATCTAGTGAGGCATGGGACAAGAGCAGATTTTATGTTTTCCCAAATTTTCACTTAAAATTTTAAGTACAATGTTTTTTTTTGATACTTGTTGTCTCTGCTGTCAGTTGCACACTTTAGTCTTCTTTACTCAAAACAAAAGCAAATCTTCTCAATGTTTTCTCTGGTTTTCCTAGTTCAATGGATTTATAGCCTTCTTGGAAATGAGCATGCCATTCAAATGTACATAATAAACAGCCATTACCTAGACAACTTTAAGATCCTTGAATGTCTTAGTCAGAGATTACCTAAACAGCTATAAAACCCATTTACAGTACATTGATCCATGTTCACTTTTCTGACAATGTAGAGCTGCATATGACAGTTGTGCTAATATAAACTAATCTTAAGTTCATTGACATACCCAAGCTAGTTAAACATGACAGAGCAACACTTAATGGTCAGTTTGTTATACAAAGTTTTGGGATTGATTTTATAGTATAATTATAAAATAACTAGTCCCAGAATTATCAAACTATGTAGATGTAATCTTCATTTAGCTTTCATTCAGTTTTCATTCAAATATCTATTAATTTTTGTTGTATTATTGGTCACTTTTATTTGTTCATCACTAATAATTAATGTTTTAGTAAACTATTAAATAGTTTAAAACTATCTTTGTAATTTATTGTATTTGAAAAAGTTTTATATATATATATATAAAACTTTTATCATCATCAAATCAAAATACATAAAAATTAAAAATAAAAATTAATTTTTATGCATTTTGATTTGATGATGATACATTAAATTATGTTATTATTTTGAAAGAAATTAATGAGAAATAAAGCATATACATGCCTTGTAGCAAAAAATCAAAATAAACAATAAATTAACACACAATCTCCTATTAATGTGCTGCCAAGTTGTGTATGTTCAGTCTTTTGCAATTGCTGAATATAAGCATCATAAACAGCATTTTGTCATCATACATTTTTTAGTCACTTCAGACCCTGATGATTATTGAAGAAAGTTGAAAATTCTTTCAACCAAAACTTACAAAGAAATGAGGGAAGGATGGATGTATTTGTTTCTTCTAATTAGTACATCTATATTTTTAAATTTTATAGTTATTTAATTGAATATTGTTGTTTGTGTATCTTTATTATGAAGAAATTTATAATCATTTAGATCATAAGTAATTTATTTTCCACATTTTGTTCTTTTAATTCTCAAGTTTATTTCATAAAATTGTATATGTATAGTTGCTGTATGTAACAAATAAATGATATTGCAAACAGAATATTTCATGTAATTTAGAATACATTGTAATTAAAATATAAAATATAATAAAAGATTTCTTTTACAGTACAACATATATATCTTGTCCAGCTGATCCAACAAAGACACTTGGAATAAAGCTTCCATACATGGTGATGATTGTCAAAAATATGAAAAAATATTTCACATTTGAAGTACAGGTGAATTTAATTTTTTATAAATATACAGGATTTCTATTATCAAATACAGTAAAACCCTGTATAAACTGGAATCAAACCATACTAAAATTATTTTTCATTTTGAGCAGGTTCCATTTTCTGCGGGGATGAGTTTTGGTACTTTTTTCTTTCTTTATTGTTAAAGTCAGATAACTGTCAATAGTTATGTTCATTTTTATGTAAATACTTTTACATATGTGAAAATAATTTTATTGCTAAGTTTAATCCAAAATGATTCCAACATTTTCAACAATCCAAATTAATTCAAAGTGATATCTGTAGTAAAGATAGGAGTATTCAAATGCAATAATTGAGACGTATTAGATTCTAAAAAGTTCTTGTTAACAACAACTTGTGCTAGGTATTTGAATGCTTCTTGGATGCAATCCTTATAACCTCTTACCTCGCATTACAGCAGACATGCAAATTCTACTACCAAGGACTAGTGTCTTGCCAGAAATTCTAATCACATTACAGTAATATAGAAACCAAGTTATTCAGTGATCTGGCTCTTGATAAGTTTTAATACTTTAATCAATCATTTATTTCAATTTCTGTAATTATCAACAATATTAATCAACTTGTTCTAACTACTAGTTAGTTACTAAATACTCCATAAAGGCAAATTGGCAGCATTGTGTTACCTTATTCTTATTGTTTCATAACATATTTGTTGCTCGTTCTCAAGAATTCATTAAATTCTTGAAATTTCTCAATTATACTCCTACTTTATGTTGCCAATTTATCTATTTTGTTGCTAGAAATAGCTATTTTCATTTTGCATTTAGATATAAAAAGTTATAATTTTTCTATTTTCAAGATAGGAATTTAGCTATTTTTCCATTTGCTCTAGCTACAAACAAACAACTTTTTCAATGATAATATAGCATTTTACCACTTTTTCATTATGATTTTGACTGCTGTTGGTGATACTGACCTGGTTAATTCCAACAAGGACTAATACTAACGAAGACCTGTGTCCATGTCTGTCATCCTATGACCTTTGTATCAGAAAAGGTTTGAAATTGTTCTTCAGAAGACAGTCACTGTAGAGGACATCAAACTGTTATACTTAGAGATGGTTTACTTTGTCCAAAATATGTGGAATCTTAATTTTCCATTTTATTCAGGATAATATTCTTTTGTACCTAAAATCTTGTTTCTGCATTGGACAGATTTCCAACTTACAGTAAAATTTAATATAGAAAACTGCTCCATTCTGAATTTTTGACAAGACTATGTCTTGTTTATAAAATCGTATTGCTGTTTTATGTTACCAACATAGAGGTATGAAGGAGTACGTGTTGAGAGTTAATATTTGGCACAGAGTATTAGATACCCAAATCACTTGTGCATAAAAAAATCCAGACTTGTAGGTAGTCAGGGGACCGAGAACAGAGTCAAAATAAAATACAAAATGGTGACCCTCATCCTCACCCCATCAAAGTCAGGTGGGGAAGAGTACCACCCACAGTCATTCTAGAAGTGAACTCTGACCTTAGGACTGAACACGTGAAGAATCCCTAATTATGTAAATTTGGGAATGCTTCAGATATGACGTTAAAACGGTTTTGTGTCATTACAAGTGGGTTTTTAAACATTATGTAGTATAGTAAAATCGTGAGAGCAATAAAATTTTAAAATTATGTTAGGTTGGTAATACAACCTAATACAATCCCGGTTATATTAGGGTTGTTGTTACATCCAATGACGTTATAATCGGGTTAAATTGTATACTATTCGTGCAAAATAAAAAAATAATTTTGTACGATACAATAGCCATGATTATTTTTTTCAAACATGGAAAATTTTCATTGCGCATTGACAAAAATTCATCCCAGGCCAACATGCAATGGAGAGAAATTTTGAAATTGGATAGGTTAATTTCATCGAAAATGCATTGTGGATGACTTTGTGGTCATGGCCAGCGAAGTTTGAATGATTGCGCCCAAAAGCAGCGATACCAAAGATTGGAGAATGAGAATGAGACCCGCCTTGAGCGTCAAGTGATTCTGCTTAGTAGTGAGTCTCCGAGACATAGTCTTGTCCCAAATACGGTTTTGCCATTTACTTGTTTCTGTTTAAGACAGATTTCCATTTTATTTGGGTTGTACTGTATTTATTTTGTTTTACTATTAAAAAGATATTTTCTTAAATTATCTTATGTTTTATAACAATATATTTTTAATAATTGTGAAAAAATTACTTTATGAAAAAAAATATTATTAGTTACATTCTTTCAGTTATTTGTATTTTTTTAAATATTTGTTTAATTCTGTGTGTTAAAATAAATGGCTCAGTTATTTACATCATTCACCTAAGTAATGAAATCTCATTGTTTTTTTAATTTCCAATCTAATAATTATTTCTTTAATATAACTTAAAAATACTCAAAATTTTGCTATATTAGAATTTTTAAAGTATTTTATTTTTCTGAGATATTTAATATTTTAGTTAAATTATATGATTAAACATATAACTTAAAATATTCTTTTTAAAGGTGATTGATGACAGAAATGTTAGAAGACGATTTCGTGCAAGTAATTATCAAAGTACAACAAGAGTTAAACCTTTCATTTGTACAATGCCTATGAGGTTGGACGAAGGGTGGAATCAAATTCAGTTTAATTTGTCTGATTTCACAAGAAGAGCTTATGGCTCAAATTACTTGGAAACACTTAGAGTTCAGGTAATCTATTTCCAAACTAGTTATTTGTACAGAAGAGCAATGTCTGTTTAAGTATTGCCAAATTTTAATAATTTTGAAATAAAAACTGAAATACATAAAATGTTAATAATGTATTATTTCTATGCATGCTAAGCTTATCTCAAAAATCTGCTGTTAATAATAATAAATCATGCTTATATGTGTGTAAAATATGTTCAGATTTATACACACTTATTCCTATTGAATAAACACTTGCATTATACAATTTTAATAATTTGGTGTAAACTAACACATGATATCATTAACAGTGGAAATGTATCTATAAATTCATTTTACTATTATGTTTTAATAAATTTTAGATAAGTGGATGGATACAATGTCAAAATTTTATTAAAACTTAATTTTTAACACAAAAACATTATAACAGGACAATAATACAGCATTATGTGAATAAAATCTATAATTTAATTATGCTAATTGTTAAAATCTTGAACTTTAAAAACACAAAATGTATAAAATAATAATAATACCTTCAGAATTATGGAAATATTTAATTTTCTGCATAGTAATTAATGGGAATAGGAATTGTTTTATATAAGGTTTCATTTACTAGATAAATTCAGTGAAAATTATATTCATTAAACAAATTCATTCATTAAAGACCAGTTGATTACATTTTATCTGCAATGAATAAAAATAAATTTTATATTTTTACTGTTTTCAAGAATAATTATACAATAATTCTCTGTGAAAAATTAATGTAACATTATACAAGCTGATACAGACTACCCATACACACTTTTAAAATGAAGGGGGAGTGAGTTTCATTAATTAATTAAAAATCCAAAAAATTTTGATAAGTAACTTGGGTATGATATATTGAATGGTAATATTTTCAACTTCCAATATTGGCTAGAAATGGAATATCAAAGCTGAAAGTCCCATTTATATATAAAAAAAAAATTTAACATATTTTTTAATTTGGATTCAGATTAAACTCAAAAATAAGACAATTTTGTCTCTATCATTTTTTTCTGAAAACACTTCCACTGACCATAAAATTATCTCAAAAGTGTGATGAACTCTTCTTGATGAAACCTTATTATAGGCTGTTTTGTGATATTTTTCAGCTGGCTGACATGAAAATGTAAACATTTCATATGTTTACATTTTCAGTCACGTCTATCAAAGATGTTTGTGATCTACATAGCTATATCTTATGAAGTTCTGCTTGAAAAAGAATCTGTTGCTTGAAGAATAGATGCTTATGTTGCTAAGAACAGTGCTCAGTTTGAATATTTTGATTAAACAACAATTAAAATCAGCACCAAATAGTTACACAAAAATACTGCATAGCAAGTTACAATTTTTGTTAGTTCATTATCAATTACATATTATTGTGTTTTGCACTGCATAGACTGTACCTCAATAAAAATATTTTTTCACAGTATCATTTTTGTCTACACTACGCTTTATGGCCAATGGAGACATTTTCAGAAATATGAGACCAAATTATCTTATTCTTTGAGTTTAATTTGAACCTAAATTAAAAAATATCATGTTCTATTTTAAAAATTTGACTTGTCTGAATAGTCCACTTCTGGCCAGTACCAGCAGTTAAAAATATTATCTTTGATAGTGTGTGTAACCGATTTGTCAAAAATCCTAAAAATTTCAATAAATAAAGTCCTTAATTTAAAAGTGGTTTATGGGTAACTGCCATGTGTTGTCTATGTAGAAGCATAACATCTGCTCTAGTAATCATCTACAATATTTTTGCTGCTTCCTATAAAGTCTAGATTTTCAGTTGTCTTAGGCTGTCAAAAAACTAAATATATGGTTTAAAATAAAATGATTACTTTTGAGGAATCAATATATAACTATATAATAATTCTGTAATTAAATGTATTTTAATTGTTTTGAAATATCTATATAACTAAAAATTATTTTCTTTTATAGATTCATGCTAATTGTCGCATCCGACGTGTGTATTTTTGTGACAGAATGTACTCTGAAGATGAATTACCAGCAGAGTTCAAACTTTATCTTCCAATGCAGAAATCAAAAACTTGAAGTTCTCCAAACGTAATGAAATTTTATTGTTTTCACCATGTTGATGAGTCAGCAATGAAAAAAAATATTAAAATTTTTTGTTATCAGTCATTTCCTTTGAAAATTTTAATTCTTCATAAAATTTAAATGAAATTCTTTTAATGAAAGTTTTGATATAATGTTTGGCACCTAAAATTATACTTTTGTACATACCAAATAAAAAATTTATATTTTATGACCTTAAGTTTTAATTTATATTGAATAATTTTAAAAGAAAAATGAAAAATATTCAACTACTACATGAAAACAAATAGCTTTTAAGGTTTATCCATACTTTAAACAAAAAAATACATTGCTTTTTAGAATCTTAATAGAAAGTAGATATGAAGCATGTAAATAAAGTTTACCAATCAATACTAGAAAATCATACTGGTATAAACAAAAGAAGACTAATGAGGTATGATAACAGTGCACTCATGCAACAAAATGTAGTATGTGATATATACAGCAAAATCATTTGACAATCATCTGCTAGAACTGCTAACAGAGGAATTGTTCCTGGTACATCAGTAGTTTATCAGGCAGCCTCAGAAAAGGCATATGATTCATTGCAATGGTTCCCAATTAGTGGTATGCTTACCCCTGGGGGTATGCAAAATTGCATGAAGGGGTACGCAGGGCAATCTAAAATCGGTCAATTTAAAATTTAAATGCATGAGATGAACAATCAAAAGAATAATGTGTGGACCATCAAAAATTTGGCAATTTACAACATGATGTCAAATGCACAAATTCGTTTATTTATAACTAAAAATATTCTCGAAATTTCATCAAAAAAATGCATTTGTGACAATACCTAAATGAAATTCTCACACAAGAAACAAAAATTATACAATTATCATTATCATCATGTCAGCGAAGCGGCAATAAAATATTTACTACCATTTTGCACAACATACCTCTGAGAGCAATTTTCGGCCATGACAAACATGAAAACTAAACATCATCACTGACTTGAGACTGAAGCCAATCAAAAAACAACCAGATTTTACAAAGTTGTGCAAAGAAAATCGTGCACTTTTGTCACCTTAAAATTAAATAACCTTATGTTATTTTCAATATTATTAGAATTATATTTTAAGGGTAAAAAATGTAAAAAAACTTATTTTATTTATCACTAGCTGTCTACCTACAGCTTTGCCCGCATTATATCAAATTTTCTCTTGGGAGTAAGGTATTTTCTCGCAGTAAAATGTAGTCTATATCCATCTCCAACATGTAAGCTATCTCTGTGTCAAATTTTATTAAAACCTGTTCAGCGGTTTAGACATGAAAAGGTAACAGACAAACAGCAGAATTACCTTCAAATTTATATTATTAGTATGGATTAATATGAATTTCTGCTATAAGGGGTACGTGAGTTTGAGCTCTTTCTTGAAGTGGTATGCAGGAAAAACTAATTGGGAACCACTGATTCATTGCATTGCAAATGCAATGAAAAGCTGTTCATTTCTGCATTTTTGCCAAGTATATTTGTGTAGCTTTGACTTTTTACACAAAGGTATTAGAACTGTGTACAATAAGTGTAGTGTGATCTCAATTTGAGTATTATCAATTTGAGTATTTGAGTATATATCAACATTTAAGAATTTGATACCAGGCATTTCCTCTCAAGTTAAACTATTCGAAGCAATGGGAGTCAACCAATATTTATAATGATCAAAATAGTCTAATCATAAATGGGATGAGTTTAAAATGTCTATGTGATCTGTAGATTGCTTTTATTCATACTGTGTATTTTTATTGCAGTTGTGTAAGTTACTGAACTAAAATCCAGGGACTGAGGTTCATTCTGGTAATAGTTTGGTTTGTTTCATTTGTGAGGTCCAGACAGGTCCAAACCATCACAAAATTTGCAAAAATTTAGTTGTTGATTAAACAAAAATTTTTCAATCCTAAATGACAAAAGAAAAATGTTAGAAGTTAGACACAGAGTTTGTGTTGCATTCTAACATAAAGTCAAAGTTTAGAAGGAATGCAATCCCCATATCGACAATCTCCAGTTGGGAGATTGAAGTTGATTTTGAGTTGACCTCTCCTGCAATCAGAGTTGGGATTTCATTACAGTTAGTAATGAGGGACCAGCCATTTGGAAAGCATGAATGAGGGAGATCAATCAATTGGAATGGCCGATCGAAAGGCAGAGATTGATATAATCATCAATCTTCAATGACAAAACCACTTTCCGTAAACTGTGCACTTGCACACAGTGAGTCAATGGGCTCTGTACATGAAATGCAGCGTGTTAACACATTAGAAGTAGTCTCCTTGGATTTATGTATTTTAAGCTGTGTTGCTAATGGAACCTCTTCATCTGTTCTACTTGCTGGTGAGAAGTCCTGAGTCCTGTTTCTTTGCTACATCTCCCCTGCTCGATGAACGTCTTCTTTCGCCTGCCCCAGGACTGTGTTATTCGGAATGAATGCGCACACAGCTGGAAACTGGACTTTGAACTTTTCTCAACCCATCTACTCCAGGAAGACACTGTGTTGGAAAATCTGTAGTGTATCACAACTAAGACATGTAAGATATTTTCTTACATGTCTTAGTTCTGATTTAGTTGATAGCAATATTTTTTTTTTTTTATTTTTTTTTGAGAGAGCTGTTTTCAGTTTTCATCAAAAACATGATGTCAGATTTTAAAGAGCAATGCTCTGCTGTTAAATTTTGTTTCCTGTTAGGAAAAAGTGGATCAGAAATGGTTGAAATGATTCAATGTGCTTACAAACAAGATGCCATGAGTAAGACAACGGTTTACAAATGGTTTTTCCACTTTCAAAAAGGAGAAATGTCTCTTAAGATCAACCAGGTCTGGTTGTCCATTCAACATTCGATTTGTTTGTTTAGTTATGGCAACGCAACACTTAGGTGATCTGCCTAGGGGGGATGCCTTCTGGGAGGTCTTTTTAAGGGAAACTGGCCATTATTTAGGCGTTACAGACATGGAGAAAACCTGGAAAACTCCACGTGGTCAGCCCTTCCGAGCAAGGTGCGATCCCATGACCAAACTCCCAGTCTTAAGAGAACGAAGACCGTTTGGCCACTGGTGGGCCCATCCAACATTCAAACTGACAAAAATGTTGAGAAATTTTGCTTTCTCATTAACAAAGATCACTGTCAAACCATTGATAAACTCATTGATTTGTCTGGAATTTCATGAAATTTGATCCAACAAATTTTGTCACAAGAACTCTGTTTGAGAAGAGTTTCTGTGCTTGACCATTGATCATAAAGGCAATCACTTGGCAGCTTGCCAGGCTTTGAAAGAACATTTGGAAAATGATCCAGACTTGTTTTCTAACTGATGATGAATTATGTATTATGGTTATGATCTGGAAAACAAATGTCAATCCAGCCAGTGGAAAACATCAGAATCTCTGTCCCAAAAAAAAAAGCAAGACAAGTAAACTCAAGTGTGAAAACCATGTTCTGTTTTTTGATGTGAAAGGAATTGTTCATTCCAAATTTCTCCATCCAGAACAGACAGTCAATCATTATTATTATCTGGAAGTCCTTAAAAGACTTCATGATGCTGTGAGAAGGAAAAGAAGGGACTTGTGGCGAACAGGGGATTGGTTTTTTCATCCCGACAATGCACTCTCCATACAGCAGTTTTTGGGAACAAACAGCATGGCCCTCCTCCCTAATCGCCTGATCTTGCACCTTGTGATTTTTTTTGTTCCCCAGGATGAAGAGGGAACTCAAAGGGAAGCACTTTCAGACAGTAGAAGAGGTGAAAACAAAAATGACAAAGGCACTAAGAGGCATTTCAGAACAAGAATTTTCTAGGTGTTTTGAACAATGGAAAAAGCATCTGGACAAGTGTGTTGAGGGTAATGGAGAATATTTTGAAGGCGATTAAAATATGTTGTTTTCCAAACAACCAAAATTAATCTATAATGATGAGTGACAATTAAATATCTGTGAAAATTGATTTTAATTCTATTTAGTTTGCTAAATAATAATTGTGATATTGGAAAAAATTATTACTATTATTTTATTTTTAAAAAATTTAAAGATTAGAAACATTCAATCAATACTTCTAATCTTTAAATCTAAAAATGTATCAATCTCAGGACACCATATAATACAGTGTGTTCTTAGAAGATTGATGCATTTTTGATGTAGATATCAATTTCACTTTGTGAGCCAACAGAGGTAAGTCACATGTACAGTAATTCTGAAGTTTTGTACATTATCACAGATGTTCAATACATTCTCCATAAGTTGTGTAACATACATTAACTCTCTAATCATATTCATCCCATGTACTGTACATTGAAGCATAGCAGCATTGATATTGCTGTGGAAAACTTTGGACAGGTCACCTTTATGAACCTTCATTAGAAAAAGTCACATTATGTGAAGTTTGGTGACATTGGTAACCAATCTAGTATGGATGCATCAGCAACTATTGTGTAGTCCATCCATCTATTTAGTCTCCAGTGCAAGAAGAGCAGACATCCCAATGGTGATAAGGTAAGGTAAGGTATTTTATTAGAACAAGAAATCTGCAGAATACCTGTTGTAGTGAATAACAACAATCAACAGACTTTTAGTATGTTTTCAGAAATAATTGAGATAAATCCCTAAATGTTTATAGGAATTTTGTTGAAAAATAATTATTTATGTTAGACTTAGAAAATTTTCTCGCTTACTTATACTATTTCTAATCTAATTACAGACTTTCTCTTATATGTAGACACTCAATTTCTTAATGTTAATATTTATATATTAACTGCTTTTGGTTTAATTGATTTCCAAAATGTAGCATATATATAAAATTATGTTCAGTTTAATATAAAATAATTTAAAACATGAAAATATAAAAAGAATCAGATCTTAAAATATTTACTTTATTTACTGTTTAGTACAGAAGAATTATACTAACAGTTGTCTTTTCAATTCAGTAGAAAGCAGTTTTTAAAGAATATATTTATTCTATTTAATACAGTCAATAAAAGTCATAATCACAGAAATATAGAGATTCCAGAACAAGAAGTACAACAAAATACTATCAAACAATAGTATATGCAAATAAAATTGTCAAGATTTATACATTTTTCTATTTATTTAAAATTTTCATTCTTCTAGTTCCAGAGTCTCTTCCTGATTATTTTTGGTTCTTAAATATGTTTTTTTAAAATACAATATCACAATCCTATTGTATAAGATCTCCCATTTGGATTATGTATTGGACAAACATAAGGCTTTGCAACACACCATTCGTACCAAACATTGTTTCGACTAGCACATCGCCAAAAATGTACTTCTAATTGATTATTACCCAATATATAAAGTGGTTCCTATAAAAAAAAGTTAATTATTAATCTTAAGGTGTTAAATTTCAATATTATATTTTATAAATTAACTACTTTTTAAATTATTACTAAAAAATTCTGAAGAAAAAGAAATCATTGTAATATTTATTAAAAACTAAATAAATTAAATATTAATTTATATAAAATATTTATCAAACTAAACATAAAATTAGTACAGTAGAACCTCGAAAACTCGGCCTAATGTGGACCGAAGGGTGGCCGAGTTTGTGAAAATGCTGGGTTATCGGGAATGGGGTTAAAAAAAATAAGTACGAGTGTTTCCTCAGAAAATACTGTACTGTACTTGTATGTATTGTTTACTTGAGAATATAACAGAGAATAAACTGCCCAAATACCCTTAAACAAAGGAAAAGTACGTCCTTTATGAAGGCATAGAGCCTTTACTACATGAAAATGAAAATTAATGAATACACTGTGTACAGTAATTTACCTGATAAGACAGACCTCAGAAAAATACTTTATGAGAGCTTTTATACTTTTATAAAGCTGTCTATAATGAAAATTAATTAACTAAGGATTTTTTGACCTGCCAGGGTGTGGCCGAGTTATCCGGAGTGCCGAGTTTTCGAGGTTCTACTGTATTGCCTATTTACTACTTAAAATTATAACAAATAATTTAAATCAATAAATGAAATAAAGATGAAAATTAAATGAGATTAATGAGATAACCACAGCATAAATACACAGAATTTTTCTTTTATCATAAGTGATAATAGGCAAGAACATAAACTGCTTTGAGTAAAGAATAAATAATACTTTCATATAGCATGCAGTATACTTTTAGTATAATTTTTGCTATATGGGTTTTCCATTACTTACAGGAGTTTTTAAATTCTTAATAAATTATACCATTGTCTTTTCTCTGATTCTACTAAACAAATTGTTATTACTTATGCCTAATTATAATTGCTTTTTAGTACTCTATATATATTTTAATTTTGAATATTTTAAGAATATTCATTATTGTATTACATACAACTTTATTGATATGAAATGTATTTTTACTTTCCTGGCTATTATATATAAGGGAAAGTATGGCAATTGGTCAAAAAATGACCCAAGATTTTTACATTTTTGGACTTAGGACACCTTGAAACATCAAGAAATGAAAAAAAGTGTGTGAGGGACATGATTTTGTTTACAACCTTTGAAGCTTAACTCCTGTGCTTTTTGTTGAAAATTTCTGAAATTTTGCAGGGAAGTTTGTGTATTGGGGGATTATGCTATTAAATTTTGGTGATTAAAGATCAAAGGGGGAGATAATGGGGTTGTGTGTATCTCCAGTAGGGTCAGACTTAAATGACTATTTTACTCGTTATTAGCATTTAAAATTTTTTTTATAAAACCCATCTATTATCATATTTTTGAAATACAAGGGCTATTTTTTAAATAAGGTATGTTTTTTAATAAGAAGAAAAATACTGCAAATATCATTCATTAAAATATTCATTTAAATTATTTTATTATATTATATATAATATTGCTGTGGAAAACTTTGGACAGGTCACCTTTATGAACCTTCATTAGAAAAAGTCACATTATGTGAAGTTTGGTGACATTGGTAACCAATCTAGTATGGATGCATCAGCAACTATTGTGTAGTCCATCCATCTATTTAGTCTCCAGTGCAAGAAGAGCAGACATCCCAATGGTGATAAGGTAAGGTAAGGTATTTTATTAGAACAAGAAATCTGCAGAATACCTGTTGTAGTGAATAACAACAATCAACAGACTTTTAGTATGTTTTCAGAAATAATTGAGATAAATCCCTAAATGTTTATAGGAATTTTGTTGAAAAATAATTATTTATGTTAGACTTAGAAAATTTTCTCGCTTACTTATACTATTTCTAATCTAATTACAGACTTTCTCTTATATGTAGACACTCAATTTCTTAATGTTAATATTTATATATTAACTGCTTTTGGTTTAATTGATTTCCAAAATATAGCATATATATAAAATTATGTTCAGTTTAATATAAAATAATTTAAAACATGAAAATATAAAAAGAATCAGATCTTAAAATATTTACTTTATTTACTGTTTAGTACAGAAGAATTATACTAACAGTTGTCTTTTCAATTCAGTAGAAAGCAGTTTTTAAAGAATATATTTATTCTATTTAATACAGTCAATAAAAGTCATAATCACAGAAATATAGAGATTCCAGAACAAGAAGTACAACAAAATACTATCAAACAATAGTATATGCAAATAAAATTGTCAAGATTTATACATTTTTCTATTTATTTAAAATTTTCATTCTTCTAGTTCCAGAGTCTCTTCCTGATTATTTTTGGTTCTTAAATATGTTTTTTTAAAATACAATATCACAATCCTATTGTATAAGATCTCCCATTTGGATTATGTATTGGACAAACATAAGGCTTTGCAACACACCATTCGTACCAAACATTGTTTCGACTAGCACATCGCCAAAAATGTACTTCTAATTGATTATTACCCAATATATAAAGTGGTTCCTATAAAAAAAAGTTAATTATTAATCTTAAGGTGTTAAATTTCAATATTATATTTTATAAATTAACTACTTTTTAAATTATTACTAAAAAATTCTGAAGAAAAAGAAATCATTGTAATATTTATTAAAAACTAAATAAATTAAATATTAATTTATATAAAATATTTATCAAACTAAACATAAAATTAGTACAGTANCCCCCTATAACACTGTTGATAATTCCGTTTTATATGAATTCCATGTTGTACAAGTCACTTAGATTTTAGAAATACATGTGCCGGGCTGTGAATGGCTCACATATTTGTAAAATCTAAGTGACTCATACAACATGGAATTCATATAAAACGGAATTATCAACAGTGTTATAGGGAAGTTGACTGTATACAATATAATCAAATTTTTTGGACTCCAAGAATTGCATTATTCCAAGTCATTAATGTATTTTATTAAGATATTTCATTTAGCTTTATAAATTATAAAGTTTAGAGTATATTTAAATTTGAAAATCAGTTTACTTACTTTAAGTGGAAAGAAAATTGGAAACCAACTGAACATTCCAGAAGAATGATTATGTGGAACAATGCCTATTTGAAAAAAAATGATAATGATTATAATAATAATAGAAATTAGTTTTAAAAATAATGTACATGGAAAAAATGCAAATTTCAATGATTTCTTGGATTCATGCACAAGAGTAGAATAAATTTGCAAATTAGAACACAGAAGTCATTAGCTTTCAACTGATATTAAATATGTAGTTATTTGCTTCAGAATTATCATAATGACTGGAGATGAACAGAGTCGGTGAAAAATAAAAACTTATTTTGTGAGCTTCATCCAGACATAAAATAATTAGACATTGTTAGATATTTGACTGCTTGCATCGACAGGATATTTACAAGATCCTGAATTGTCTAGAAATATGTTGTGACAGCAGTAAAGCTGTATTTGAGCCAACCAAATTCACCATAAAGACAAGCACAGACTGCAACTTGCCCTCAATTTCAACTTTTTGGCTGAAAAATATGGGCTATCAGACAAAACTATGAAAAGGATGTATAGTATTTGACATGGGGGTATATGGTGACAGAGCAAAACTCTACACCATAGAAATACTACACCATAACGATTCTATTAAAATATTATAAAATTTTATACTTACTCAAAACAATATCCTTATATAAAACTGTTTCAAAATAACCAGCAAAGCCATGTATAGTGCAATTATATTTTATATCAAATGTTAATACTTTATATCTTGTATTATCAATCACTTTATCTGAAACAAAAAAAATTTAATAAATAATTTATTTCTGTATTTGATTTTAATCAAGTAAAACTAGTTGCTACTATTGTAACAGACTAGTGATAACTATTAATTAAAATTACAATTAAGTAGTTTCTAAAAATTAGGACAATTTTAAAATGCTTAAGATTTCAATTTTTGATTATCTAAATCAGGGCTTCTTAAACTATAGATTGCGACACCATTTGGGGTTGCTTAGCGAAATCTTGGGGTCACGCGATTTTAATGCAAAATATATTGTGAGAGTTTGAAAATGGCACGCTTTGTGTTGTAGGTTTCGTGAGTTGCGCTTTGTGTCACTTCTGGTGCAGCGAGACAATGATTCAGCAACACTGTAGTGTGAACTAGAGTAGTGTTGTCACTTTTCAGTGTATTCAGTTGTCAATAATGGTGTACTACCACAGTTCACTCTTGTGTTCCATTGTAACACAAGAGTGAACTGTGGTAGTACACCATTATTGTTTTTGCAAATTTGTATATATCTTTATTTTATATTTTTTGGGTCATGAAAAAAATCACAATCATTTGCTTAATAGCTAAAAGTCTCCAACCTTTGACCCAAAAGCAAATTTATCTAGCCTGCTTAGCTTATTTTCACTGATATGTTTTATTGTCAATATTTAAACTATTTCAAAGAATAAAAACTTTTAAAAATCAACTAGAATTAATAGATTTTGCTGCAAATAATTTTTATAAAAATCTATTTAAAGAAGAAAAGAGGTGAAAAAATAGTTGAAAATTGTTTTATTTAAAAATATATATATATATATATAAATGNGTTTTAAATTCGAATTTGTTATTGCGTATTGGTTCGATTATAGAACGATTGTAAACGTTTCAGAAAATTGATCAAATTGAAAATAGTTCGTTTGATTTTCGGCAATTCTCTTCAGCGGTAGGTGTTATATAACAATTACTATGGTTATTGAAATATTGGATGTAAATGGGGTTTGCTTGCAAAACCTCCGCTGACGAAGTCGCGGGTAACAGCTAGTATATATATATAGTGTTAAAGAACATTTTCAAAAATTAAATAGATAAAATTGAAATATTAAACATCAATGTCTAATGAACATCTAAAGAAAATTTTAATATTGTTGCCACAAAATTTATTCCCATTTATCACCTGTCATTCAGAAATAAAAAAAAGTCTGAATTTTTGACTATATCTCTCATAGATAGTCCTCAGGACTTGTCTTTTACAGCTTACATCAACCTTTGCAGAAAAAAATTGGAGAACCCTGAACTAAGAGATTTTATGTCTCCTAATTACAATATTTATCCTCTTTTTTAGAAGAGTTAACAGTATTCACTCTGAATAAAGGATCAGAATTCTCTACTGAATTTTTTCTTACATCATTCTATAAAATTTTTTCATAAAATATTCATGTTTTTCAGGAAACTAGTTTTATAATTATGTTTTATAGTCATGATTCAAGCAATTCACGTGCACAATGGACCTTTCATGCCGATGTGTGTTTAGGCTGCTGGCATCACCTATATAATAATTCAATTCTTTATGCAAAAATAATACACATGAAATGGACTTTATTATTATGGTTTCTTAAAAATTCATAGACTATTAGGCTTTTTTTTACTATTAACTGAACATTACATGTCTTCTTTTCTATATTTAATAACTTAATTATCATCATAACTATAGAAAATTCTCTTGCACAATGTACTTAACAGTTATTTCTGTTTTTTCTTTTTTTTAAATATGTAAGTCTATATAAAACTATCATTCTGTTATTTATTAATAATTCAAATTTTATAATTTTATTCTTTTAAATTTTTCATTTAATACTACCACATCTTCAACAAGTAATTACTCTAATATATTTTTAATGAAAGTTTTTGTATATATAAATTTATTTTTTGATTTTAAATAAATATAAAATAAAAAATTCAGATTTTTTATATTCTTATATAATTCTTTATTATTATATTCTTTAGTTATTAATCTGTTTTGCAAATTTTATTTCAAGCTTTAATTCACTAAATTTAAATTTGTTGCTTTAATTTTTAATTACACTCCATTTACGCCAATATCAATCTGCTCTAAATATATTTTTTTTATATTCTTTCTGTATAATAATTAAATATAGATATCTCCTAATATAGTTTACATTACCTTTGAATCTTTATAATAGGTGTTATCAATTATTTAAATAATAACTCTGTTAAAACCTAGATATTGTTAATCTATCTATCAGTTGTCTACCATATATCTCAAAATTTTTGTTCTGCATCTAGAATAATTTTAATTTTTTTATATTTGAAAAAAATTTGTTTAGATATCCTTAATTAACAAAAATATAGAAAATTGATTTCTTGAATTATGTAAGAGCCCGGACTTGACGAAAAAAAATCATAAAGATATGATTATAACTTTTCCCACAGACTTGATTCCTTGTTTGAGGTGACACATCGAATGTGTCACCAGGAACTTAACAACATTAGAATTGGACATGTAGGTTTACCAAAAAAAAAGGGCAATGGAGTAAAGAGGCAAGATCCTAAATAAAAGGCAATGTCTGATGACGACATGGGGAGTTCATCCGACAAAAGAATCTGTCATTATCAAAAGTTCACCTTCACCAGAGTTGCACTATCGCATGGATACCTAACCGACATCAAAGATTTCTACCTAAGTGACTTTCCTCCCTCCAACGACCCTCCTCTCACCCGAATAGTCCAAATATCAAGACATCAAGACATTGCCAAATATACCAAGACTTTTCAGATCCATTCATCGAACTTCCAAATCATTAATTCGCCATGTTGTGAACTCCACTCTTCAACCCGATCAGCAATGCAGTGCATCCTCAGATCCTTTACAACGTATCTATGTAAACTCTCTCTCTCAAGACTAGAACTCATGAGGATAGTCAATATCATATACAAAGCCTTATAAAATATAGAAAGGGGATACCCAAATGTTAGCCTATGTTTAGCCTAATTGTAAATAGCTTATAGTGAATAAATGGATATATATTATTGTTAAATTTGTTTGGTGCACTTTCTTAAACCGCACCCTCTCTTGTGTCGCCTCCATCCTGGATCCAACCACCTAAAAATGTGACTTTCTCATGCAAAAAGGTTTCTGTGTCTGTCCTTAAGACACAGTGGTGTCAGTTCTGAAGTGACATCGTGGTGTGGTGCCAACTCTGTGGTCACAATTACATTTGGAAATATTTGATTATAATCATACCCTATAATCCAGCAATTTTTTCAAATCAAGCATCATAATATGTTCTAATATTTCTTTACTTTTTCCTCTAAAATAATTCTTCTAGTCTCAAACATTTAGACATGAAATGTCAAATTCAAAGTATGAGAATATTTAGAAGAAGAAAGATAATTTCTGAAAATTTATCAACTTTCTGTAATACTCGTATCCAAATATATTTATTTAACTTTAAGTAAATTTTAAAATTTGTAATTTGTTTTTAATAAAACTATTTTAACAGATTAGGTCTTCATTGTTTGAACAATTGTTCTGCTTACTTATTTGTTTCTTAATCAGAATTTTAGTATTTGCAGTCAGGTAATTAAGTTTAATTTAAGACAATAAATTGTTAATTTATACAATGCAATCAAATCTAAGACATGAAAATGATTTATCAGAACTATTGTATTTGAATAATATTTGAAATCTCATTTTAACTACTCCATTTTTGTAAAACTATGTGATTAAATATAGCAATTATTATTATGATAGAAATATTTTTTCTTTTCCTATAATCTTAGATTTCACTATAATTAGAAAGCACTCAGAGAAAATTCTGTAATGTTTAATCTTTTATAAATTTCTTACCTTTATTTGGATGATAAAATGTAAATAATGGTTGGGGTTCATCTAATTCAGTCCTATTGTGCAGTCGAACAACATAAGGCATTTCAAATGGAGCCTACATATAAAATATATTTTAAATTAGTGTTTAATCTGTATAAATAATTAAGTTCTTTTACAATAACTTATATGTATAAAAAACTTTTAATGTTATAATAAATGAAACTTACGAGTGGATGTTTATCTCTATCTTTCATTTGAGCAACTTCACTATATAATTTAGGGGAATGTATAGGTGCTATGTAAGAAGTATAGCTTGCAGGAATGCTAATTCCATCGTCTGAATAAAAAAGTAATTATATGATTGCATAAAACTTGAAAAAATAATGCATATCTGCCAATAAAAGTACTTCCTGTTACAATAATAGTAAATAAGTAAATAATCAATTAAAAATTGTACATAATGTGTAACTGATTATTTTTTTTATTAATGTTGCAGGAAGCACTTTTATTAGTAGCTATACATTTCAAACATCATAGTACAACAGAATAATATAAACTGTACAGTAAAATCTGTCTAAAACAGAACCTGAATAAAATAGAAACATGTCTAAAAGGGAGCATTTCTTTGGAATGAAGTGATATTCTGTGTCAAATTTTATCATAACTCAGAAACCTATCTGATGATGAAATGAAAGTAGTCTTTGTATATGAAAAATGTAGCTTATCCTAAATAAAGCAGAAAACTAAGATTCCACTTGTAGGCAAGTAAATAAATCACCTCCAGCTATAGTAGTCACAGCAGAGCAATACAAAATATATTTCAAGAATAATTTTGAATCTTGTCAGAGAAACCAAGGTCATGCAGCAAGAAGACACAGACACAGGGTTTTGTTAGAATTAACCAGAGGTAGAATTAAATACATTTAAGAATTAAAAACTTAGTTTTTTTTTGTTTTTTCATCAGACAGTTTTCACAATTATATTAATATATATATTAATTTTACCTTTAAGAAACTTTTGTGCTCCATCTAAACATTCTGGGGACAATTCGTTATCACCAAATGATCCAAGTAATTCTGACACTAAAATATCTGCTTTTTCTGGAGCATTCCAAAGCCTCATATCACTATTCACAACAATTACACTATCTCCCCACATTTCATCCTGTTGTGCTTGCAAACTATATTAAAATTAAAACAATTAATTAATTCATAATTTTAATCAGATTATAATAAATGGGCAATACTTACGTTACAACTGCATTAGGATTTTTTTCAACAGCATATACTTTTATCTTTCTTTCAGCTTTTCGAGCAGCAGTTAAAGCAGCCCGAACCAGTGGACCTCTGCCAGCACCAACAACCATTAAAATACTGTAATATTCATTAAAATAAAGTAAAAAGAAGTCTCTAAATTTTCAATTAAAATTATCAACAACTTAAAAATTCAATTTGTTGTGTTCCAAATACAGTAGGTGATCGGTTAACGAACAGATCGGATAACGAACACTTTCGCGAAAGATTTTTATGTTCGGACAACGAACACATGATCAGATAACAAACACCCCACAGAACAAACACAAGAAGAAGCGACGTAAATTAATGAATACCGATTGGTCTTCCCTTGTCTTCGGGCAACAATTCGAAACTTTTCGGAGTGTGGGAGACGTCGACATCGACGCTCAAGCCGATATATACCGATCGGATAGTATTCCTCCGAACTTTGAAACTCTCCCTT